GGCACATACATAATTTCCAACAGTTAATTTTTAAACACACTAATCTGTTCAGTATGGGGAAATAAAATGTATTACCCGCACTGATCATTTGTTATTTGTCCTTCTGTAAAGTAGTTTTTTTTTTAAAGCATGTCAATTTATTCGAAACCTGAAGTCAACAGGATGAGACAAAAACACTAACAACTGGTCCTCATAATTCAATAAATCAAATATCTCCGCTTTGTGTATTTTTTAACAAAGTGCCCACATTTTTGCCAGGGAGATACAACTGCTGTATTGGATTTGGTGTTAATGATGGCACTGAATTTGTGACCTGTGATAAGATGATAACATTAATAAAGTAAACGTGCGTTCAATATATACAATACCATGTTCTTGTCTACTTGCGTACCTTTCTCACAAACACAAATGGTAATATTGAAATAGTACTACTGCTTATAAAGAGCATATAAAAGCATAAGGTGGTCGAACAAATGTGTTAATGTATGAACAAAGTAGATTACTTTAGTTTTATAATCAGCATTATAGTATGTGTGATGGTTAGCCAACAGATTTATTATGGAAATTATTTTCTTATTTTAGGTATTCAGCAATCAAAGAATATATATTGAAAACAGCTACATTTATAATTGGGACATGGCTTGATGTATACATCAGTCTGTAAATGCGATTTGACCAGGAAATAAGGTCTGCATTATATAACCATGAGGGTGGCTGCCCATGTATGCTGTTCTATAGTTCATTGTTTAGAGGGCTGCTGATTGTTTGATAGGTTTGGTCTCTGACAAAGAGAACAAATAAATGGGTGGAGGATATATAAAGTACATTTTCCATTAGAAGACAAGACATGCCACTTAAAGTATAAACTTAGCAAATTCGTGTTTACTGCTAACTTGGTAATGTCTTTTTTTTCGTTATTTTGCCCAACCCATGTTTCATAACTTGTACAGGAGTTACTGTAAGAAGTCACCTTTAGCCTATGTGTCCATGTTCACAATAAAAGGTATGATGACAGCATTATTGCGTAAATAGTATTTCATTAGTGTTCTTTATCTTAAATCAATGTTTATTTCTACAACATCGAAGCTACGTTTTGGATATTTTCTTCCACACACCACCCATTCAATTTCACAACCCTGGATCTATCTACTGTTGCATTTGACTACAATTTTCCGGATTCTGAATGATAAGTAGTGCAAGTCAATACAATTTTAAGAATATATCGCTTTGAAACTTTATTCAATACAACAGTAGTTTCAGCGATTCATATTGTTTGAAATGCCGAGAATCCGATAACTCCCTTTTTATCAGACGCAGAAAATGTACTCGGAGTTTCTTCCTGAGTGTTAAAGGCGTGGACATCTTCTATGAAAAGAAAAGGACGTGTATCTTATTGGTACGCGCCTTGAACGACAGCGGGGTTTATCCAATCAGATGGCTTCTCCGCAGAAATTGCTTTTTTTTCTGCCGGTTTTAGAAACCCAACCACGAGTTGTCGTCGTGTGGGAGAATCCATCTTGAAGAGAGCTCTCCGGTTGTGTTACCAGTAAGCTGCTTTTCCTACTTATTTAGCGTTGTTCTTTTCATTATATTGCAACGTAAGTAATCTGGTTGTTTTAGTCTTATGATTGTTATTCTGGTGGATGTAGTTTAAATATCTGTAATTAATGGGAAATGTAGGCCTCTTATGCGACTAGCACGGCCTTTGCGTTACGTAACTGCGAATTTGAGTTGTACAGTCCAGGCTTGCTTTATCAGCACGAAGCAGATGGTTACACTATTTCTAATCTTTAGTTTTTATCGGTGTCCATGCTGTCGGATTACTTTGTTGTGCAAGTAATCGTTACTATGTTGCCATTTTCTGGCGTTCTGCAACAATTGCGAGTCTTCATGAATGTATGAAACGCGATCGTGCCGGCCAAAATGGTGGGAAATGCATGCATTGGCACCATGTAAATGGCGAGGCATGTACGGCATTTGGGATTATATAATCACCGTGATTTAGTGTAACTTGATGCATTTTTTTGGCTTTAGGTATTATATTGCAAAATGTCTGAGATAGAGCAGCAGTATATGGAAACATCGGAAAATGGACACGAAGTCGAAGATGATTTTAACGGAGCGGAAAACACCGAGGAGGGTAACGAAGAGAGCGCTGTGAATGACTGCGGAGAGGAGGCAGAGGGCGCAGGGCCCGACGCCGACGGGAATTCACAAAACGGTGGCACAGAGGGCGGCCAAATCGACGCCAGCAAAGGCGAGGAGGATGCAGGGTGAGTTGAAAAACAGTATGCCGTGTATATTTTGTGAAACCAACATTTATAATAAGCTTTCATGGTTTAGTCATGTTTCTTTGTTCAACCGGCCTTTGTTGGCGCCATATGCAGAGCGGAGGAGGGGGATGGGCACTCCAGCAGGGATCAAATCTAGCATGCATTGGCTCTAAAGAAGCTATTGATATGTGGCATCTGATTTAGTTTTTTCCGAACGATTTTCACTAAATTGAATTAATGATGTAAATTGACTGAGCTACAGCAGCTGTAGCCTTCTTTCACATGTCATTGGGTCAACAGATGTTCTGGAACAGTGTGTACATTTATACCCCCCTTCGTGCCCAACACCACCGCCTCTGCCATATATAAAGTTGCAGTAACATGGCTGCCTGTAATGCTTAACGTGTCCCTTTCTGACCCTCTGTGTTCAGGAAAATGTTTGTTGGAGGTCTCAGCTGGGAAACGAGCAAGAAGGATCTTAAAGATTACTTCACTAAATTTGGTGAGGTGACAGACTGCACCATAAAGATGGACCAGCAGACAGGCCGGTCAAGAGGATTCGGCTTCATTCTCTTTAAAGAGGCAGCTAGTGTAGAAAAGGTGAGTGAGAAAGCAATAAACCCGAAACTGACTTTATGGTTACAAAAGAGACACATTTTTTAAATATTTAGTTGGGTTTTTTAGGTTCTTGAACAGAAGGAGCACAGGTTAGATGGCCGAGTGATCGACCCCAAGAAGGCCATGGCCATGAAGAAGGATCCAGTCAAGAAAATCTTTGTTGGAGGCCTTAACCCTGACACGGCTAAGGAAGTCATTCAGGAGTACTTTGGGACCTTCGGAGAGGTAAGGTATTCAAAGGAATTTCAATTTATTAGAAAGTCGAATGCTTAAGATATTTGCTGCTTCAAAGTCCGTTTTCCTGTTGTGTAGGTTGAAACCATTGAGCTTCCACAAGATCCAAAGACAGAAAAGAGGAGGGGATTTGTATTCATCACATATAAAGATGAGATTCCCGTCAAGAAGGTTATGGAGAAGAAATACCACAACGTCGGTGGAAGCAAGGTAATGGCATACCACACATTCTGCACACATGTGAAATGGGGTCTGGTGTTTCGGGGTATAAAAATCAAAGGCAAAATCACACTGCAATGTAATGTGCTCTTGTGTGGTGTTCCAGTGTGAAATTAAAATAGCCCAGCCCAAAGAAGTCTACCAGCAGCAGCAGTATGGTGCTCGTGCATACGGTGGTGGTGGTGGAGGAGGAGGAGGAGGAGGAGGACGCGGCGGCGGCAGGGGCCGTGGAGGTAAGAACCCTATTTGTATACTTTAAATGCAAAGTAGCTTGTTGGGTCATGTATTTAGAGTTGTGACAAAGCCCTCACCTGTGTCTTTTAGGTCAGGGACAGAACTGGAATCAAGGTTACAACAACTACTGGAACCAGGGATACAACCAGAACTACGGCGGATATGGACAGCAAGGCTATGGCGGATATGGCGGCTACGGCAACTATGACTACTCTACTGGTTATTACGGCTATGGGGGTGGCTACGATTACAGTAAGCGATAAGTGCCCCCCGGGAACGAAAAAAGAATGAGAGAAACTTTATTTTCTTGGTCCTCCTTGTTGTACAGAAGAACTCAGTCCCTTTTTCTCTTGTCCTCCAGACCAGGGCAATACAAGCTATGGGAAAACTCCAAGACGTGGAGGCCACCAGAGTAGCTACAAGCCATACTGATCACACGTAGTGCAGGTATGCATTTTTGCATCATCCGTGGTAGTATGAGAACATAGCTGTAACCATTGGTGCCTTTTTGACCCCAAAGATCTCCATCTACTCTAAATCCATTCAAGCATTGTGGTGGGGTTAGGGTAGACTGTGTTGTGGGGTCTGTTACCATTAAAGATGGATTCATTCCACCTGTCAGCCATCTTAAGATGCATCTCTACTACTTGATCACTAAGGGTTGAGTTGGTGGTGGTTGAGAACAGGAATAAGGACCGTCACCTTTCACCAGGGTGCTAGGTGTAATAGCTAGCGGTCGTGCCCCCTCCCCCCCAAAGTGTGTCTGTCCATTCACTGACCTGTCAAAACTCATTCATGCACCTGTCTGTCTTTGTGTAACTGCATGCCATATTTGGTTTATTCTCAGTAACGTTAAGCACCGTGTTTTTCTCTTAAGGTCTAAAGTAAATAAGAAAGAGATCCATGGTCTGACCACAACCAACATGGGCTCTGGCTTTTCCTTTGGAGTTGGCAGAAATTTGGACTCATGCTCCATTTGTACAGATCAAGTGAGGAACTGGGGAAGCAAATGTCACTTTTCCACTTTTTATTTTATATTGTTTTGTGTCCATTTACATTTCCAGTGATGGAAGTGTTATTTTTACTGTACTTTTTGGTACCTTTTTGAATCTAATGTATTGTATGGTTGTATTTTTACATGTCTACTGGATTTGCAGATGAGCAGGAGCAAGAGCTTTTAAAGCTCACAAATAAAACAAAATTGTTTTTCTTTCTTTTTTTTTCTTTTGGTGTTTCTAGATCTTTAGTTATTTTTTCCCATGCTGAATGTTGAATGCAAGTTGCATGGCTTCAGATGTGGGATGAGGCAAAAATAAGGGATTTAAACCAATCAAAGGGTTCATTGTAAGAGTGTCAAGTGAATGTTTTCAGATGGTCTAGTAGACGAAGACAACCAGCATCTTTTTTTCTTTTTTTTTGGCTTTTATGGAGATTCTTCCCCCATCATGTCTGCAATTTTAAGTGGCTTTACTAGTGTTATTCAACTGAACGCAAGCCTGTTAATGTAAGAGGGTACTCCCTCTCTCACTGGATACTCATTCCTCTAGTGTCTTGGGCAAATTGGTAGAAATAAACTTTTGGTTTATATTACACATGGATCCTTTTGTTATTATTTGTAAAGTTAATGTTAAATGTTTTGTACTGTTAAATGGCTTGCTTGTTTTGTCTTGGGTAATGTTAACATCTCTACGGATGCAGGAGAGAGCTTCACTACCTGCAGCAAACTGGCTGGTTAATTCCCACTCCACTTTATGTAAAACTGCAGTACTTTAGCATTTTATAAATGTGAACAGGAGTTAATGATAGTGATCTGGTAAGTGCTTATCTCAACTATATGTGTATTGAGAACATGTTGCTGATCAGTATTGCTAACTGGGACTGATCATATTTTAAATATCGCAGTTGTTGATAGAACACAAATTAGTCAGGATTGGGGAAAAAATCTTTTATTAGTTTCTTAATTTTTGTCAGAATGGCTAACAGTTCAGCTGGCATCCCTTTTTAAAAAATTTTTTTGGTAGTTTTCATCTCAGTTGACTGAAGTGATTCCTATGCCTTAAAAAGGCACTGAACATCTGGGGGGAGAAAAAGGGAAATAAATATTAACTATAATACACATTCCTGGCTCTAGATACCATTTAAATGACTGTCCCACTTTGATTTGTCATATTGCTAAGCTTTGACACTTAAATGAAAACATTTTTCAGTGTTATAAGGGAAAACAGCAACATGTTCTAAGTGAAGTGAATGAACTTGTTCTATTGGAAGTATAGACATTCACATCTCTACCTCTGAATGTTATGAATGTGACCATCTGACAATGTCTGATGCAATTAAAAGTTTTTCTACAGGTTTAACAAACCATAGACGTCTTCCTTTTCCAGTTTATATGTCACTGGCTTCCATGTCTGTGAGAACAAAACAAATTGAAGAGGTTATACAACATTTAAATAAAAGTTTGGTCTTTAGAGTTCTTTAAAATTAGTGAAAACAACAAATGTAGGCAAACAATCCTGTAGTAACGAGTGTAGACAAAATATGACAGTGTAACCAACCTGTGAGGATGCGGTCAATACATTTTACTGTCAGTTCTGCATCATCCATACTGAAACACATTGGTGGTTTGAACTTAATGACACTTTCCCAGGGACCATCTGTACTGACACAGATATTATCCTCCTCTTTTAACCTAATAGAAAAGGGACATCATTAATGACTGCTCAGCCCAGACTGTATAGAAGGAAGAACAAGTTGTTTAACATAAACATTGATTGCTTTATTGCACTCAAGTGTTGTACCTCTTCACCACCAACGCTGCTGTTTCTGTGGCAGGAGTCCTCTGCTCTCTGTCTGTAACCAGCTCTAGACCCACGAACAGCCCCACACCTCTGTTAAAATAAATACATATTTATTTTTATTGATTTGACAGGTGGGGGGGGGGAGGTGGTGGTGGTGTTGAAACTTACACCATGATTGTCGTCATTTGTGACGCGTCTCATTAAACCATGTGATGTCCCATTTAGGTCCCTGGACAATAACCTTATATAAACGAGAGATACATTAAATATCATTTTTTACAAGGAAGCTCAAAGCTTTCAACAGATATATGTTCAGATTAAGTTACAGCTGTCATTTTTCACGTCCTTCAATTGTTCCTTGAATTTTAATGAAAGGAATCCAGATTCCCACAATTGACCATATAGGCTGGAGAAATAATTAATTATATGAATTTATGTTTTGTTTGTAGTTTGAAGAACATTAGTGCAGTAGTCATCAGATCCTTACCTGACATCTCCAATTATTTGATGTTGTGGTTGTAGCTTTATAAGCAAATCTTTGAGATGTGCTCCCACCCTGGTGGCATTTCCTTTTAGGTCCTCTTCCTCTATCACATCAAGTACTGCCAGGCCAATTGCACAGGACACTGGATTCCCTCCAAACTGCATGAAGTTAGAACCAAAACAAATATTTGAATCTTGATATATGCATGCTAAACAAAAGGAACCTCAAACAGATTTCTAAAGTACCATTTTTATTTTGTTTAAAAACAGACTGAGGAATTTTGATTATATTGTCTGTTCTGTGCAGCAGCATAGTGGTGTATAAAGAAACACTTGTAAACAACAGTCCTCAAGCAGTAGTCAGTGATGAACATAGCTGCCAAGAGTTAAGAGACGTATAACATTATAATAAAAATGTCTTGATATTTATATATAATTTTAGTTATTAAAATGCATCCTGGCAGCATACAGTTGGAAAAAAACTAAATAAAACTTTAAGATAAATGTATTTGTATATTATTGTGTTGACTAAGTGCATATTCACCGTATTGAAGTACTCCACTCCGTTGGCTGTGAAAGCTCCAGCTATCTCTTCAGTGGTTGCCACACATGCCAGGGGATGCCCATTGCCCATTGGTTTACCCATGGTCACTATGTCGGGACAAAAACCCTGCCCCTGCAGCTGGAAAGCCCAGAAGTGACTTCCCACACGTCCAAAGCCTGTCTGCACCTCGTCTGCCACAAACACTCCACCAGCTGATCGCACATATCTGTAGGAAATCCACTGTGTCACTTCTATCGCATGTGGCTGAGAAAAACTGAAAATAAAAAAAGAGTGAACACCACTCACTCTGCAACTTTAGTGGAGTATCCTTGGGGTAAGATTATTTGTCCTCCAACACTTGGCAATGACTCAGCAAAGAAGGCCGAGATCTATTGGGAACATGTTTATAAATGTCATGCATAGGTCATGATTATCTGCATAACAAAAAGTGTTATTAAGGCTGCACGAAAATGTGTTAAAATGTACCTTACGGCCATCCCTGTGCACCTCCTCTATTAGGTCTTTTACTGTATCAGCGTATGCTTGGCCGGGGTTGGGGTGATCCTCTCTGTAAAGGCCTCTGTAGGTGTCTGGTAAGGGTGCCTAGGAGGATTAAACACATTGTTTAAGCTATCCACTGTTGGTCAGCAGTTTTTTGTAATGATTGTCATATAAATGTACACACCACATGAACCCATTCTTTTTGTCCTGCCAGTTTCCGGAACTTGTAAGGACTAATGTCGATGAGGGACATTAGATGCCCATGGTATGCACTGGTATAAAAAGAGAGTTCATTTGTAATTGGTAAACAAGTGTTCAGTCAGAGGATGAATGTGGGATAGAACTGAATAAACTTACTGGTCAAGCACAATTACATCCTCATGTTGGGTGTACTGATGTGCTAAGCGTAGGGCAAGATCATTGGCCTCTGAACTGTCAGTAGAACAGATGTTATATAACTGATATGTTACTTAAGAAATACCAATTTGTCCGAGTTGGAGGTTATTACTTACCCGGAGTTAACAAAGTAGAACACACACAGTTTCTCTGGCAGGGTGGCAGCCAGGCGGTCGGCATACATCACTATGTTGTCGTGCAGGAATCGAGCATTTGTGTTCAGGAGGTCCATTTGTGCTGATGCAGCTTTTGTAATGCTTGGGTGACAATGGCCCACTAAAATAAGACAATAGGATATTTAAAAAAAAACTTTATTAATCTAGAGGGAATTATTGTGCTGAGTAGTAAAAGCACAACACAGTTCTTACTTACAACAAAACATAAATAACAACAATAAAAGTAAAGCACATTTGGTAAAAGAAAGAAACTAAAAACTTAAGTTGAAAGAAATATTTCCACCCAATGTTTAAGAGCTAAGCTACAATACAAAAGGACACAGTGTATTTGAATAATGCTTTAAGTAGAGGCAATAAATGGACTATGCCTTGAATAATAAACGTTTTACCATGTTGAACGTTGCTGATGCAGTCCAGATAGCGCTTGCCATTTTCATCGAATAGAAATTGACCTCTTGCTTTTACTATTTTCACAGGGTCTTCTGAATAGAATAGTCTGCATGACTGCCTGTAATCGAAGAAAAAATGACGTGTCAGTAACTTTCTTGCACGCACTGCTTAGCAGCACACCCTCACTAGTAGGCTTATGTCAGCCAGCCAGAACAACAGTTTGACTTCGACCTACCCGATTAACTTCTTCCGCAGAACGAGAGTTTCCTCTTTCCTTAGTTTTCCTAGTGCCATATTCTCTGTAGGTTCACTCTGTGAGTCAAAGACTCATCAGGCAATGAACATACAGCTTTGCAATAGCCAGTTAAGGAGAGCAGTGTCTTTAGTTATGGATTTTTTTTATCAGAAGTCCTTACCACGCATGCGTCCATAGTAGAATTGTATTTACAACACTAAGCATTCCAACGTGTATGTGTCGAAATGATGTGTAGGCTTTATTAAATATGTTGGTTTTGTATAAATATATATTTATCAGAAACAAAAATACATTTATTTTCTCGCTAAGACATTGCTTGCTCAGTTTTTTTAAGCTGTCGCTTTATTTAGAGGGGCCCAACTGTGTGGGTCTCTCAACCGGAAAAGGACTCACACATTAAATGCAATGTGTTGCTAACAATCTAGTTACGGTTTTGAACACCTGAAAAAACTGTCATTTTGAAAAAGTAAGCGTTATATGACAATTGCTGAGTTTCCTAGAAGGATGTCTTTCAAATCAGTGTATTAAAAATACCTCTGCATTGGTACGGTCCAGCCGCTATAAATACTCTGCTAAACGTCTTTCTATCCGGTGCACTGTGTGCAGCTTCGGTTGCTAAGGAACCACTGAAAGCAGGTAATACATCAGGACAGCTGTAGCATGCTAGCTGCAAACAGACTGCGTAACCAAGCTAATGCTCCAACTTATTTACTTGTACACCATCGACACAACCGCTTGATGTATAATCGCCCCTTTTTATGGTATATTCAAACAAATCATCGCTAGATTCATGTATAATGACAAGCGATGAGCTTGTCGCAGACCGAATGCACTAACACTAGTAACGTTTGTTATCTGCTAGCTAACAGCTAACACTTATAGTGTTGCACGGGCTGCATCGTGTTGCTGAGCTAGCTTACTATCTGCTCACCAGCATAAGTCGTTATCAGATTTAGCCAGTAAATATATCCAAGTCCTACATTGTCAATGACAAACAGTTGTCCTACAGCTAATGTTGTGAACAAAGTGATAGGCTTTTAATTGGCTAACATAATCGTTGTGATTTGTAGACAGGCAAGCTGCGCAACACTGTCTTAAACTTATGTGTTCGTTTGCAAATGAGTAAAGACAGAACATGTCTATAGGCCCAGACCCCTAAATTAACCTTACCTAGAGTCTTATTAATAGTGTTTTGTGATAGGTGTGTGTCTAACTAGTCGTCGTCTTTTGAATATAATATATCATTATTTATGAGCAACGGTAAGTGTGTTGCCAATATTTTAAAGTTATGTTAAAGATTTAAATCAGCGGGTGATTGACAGCAATGGACTTATCCGTCTACGAGCAAAATTAGTGTGTAGGGTGCTTTTTAACTGTAGTAGCTGCTACATGATTATGTTTAGCCTGTGTGCCCTGCGCAGGCGAAGTAGCATGTCTTCTGGCATGTGGAACTAGGTTAGCATAGTAGCACTATGTTTGCCACAAGGAGAAAGGCCCTGGAGGCCACATCTAACTGCCAACAGCAAGTGTTGCAACTAAGTCTCTTCAATGAGTTTGACGTTTTATTTCAGATTAACAACTCATCTTTTTAAAGTTGATACTGGTAAATATGTTTCATCATGTTCTATCGTGTCGGGTTTGGATGTCAGTATTAGCTTTGGTCAACATTATGGGTGCTTTGAACTTTCAAAGAACAGTGCAAAGGCCTAAAGGCCATGTTACATTTTAATACAGTGCATACAAGTTTAGATATTTGCTTTCTCTTTTAGTTTCAGTTTGATATGTACATTTTTGTGCCTGGTGCAGATCTGCTGGAAAGGGACAGTGTAGGTTAATCTTCAGTGATGTTTGTAGATTGAGTAACCATTAGAGCCTAAAGGCTACCTATGTGCTATTTGGATGGGAAAGTAATTGTCAAAAGACTATGTGATTTGAAATGGACACACAGGCTGTCTTGTTGCCCTTTACCTCCCCATTCATTTTCACACACTTCTCCCATCCCATCCCTTTATTTCTCCTCTTTCCATCCCCCTTTCCTCCTACTTCACAATAATTGTTATTTGTGTTTTATTAAACCCAACTGACTTTGAATGCCATTGTATTTCCCCACTGGTTTTAACTTTGGGCATCCTAGTCTATGTCTGTAGTCCCTATCATAGCCAACCATATTCACTCTTTGTCCTGGGTCTCCTCATGTCCACGAGTGCTCTCTCTCCCTTTGAAAATAAACTTCTGACTCGTGTGACTTAGGCAGCATGTATATCCCAGGATGGATCTTGTAAAGAAATATCTGGTCATTACTTTGAACACATTTTTTCATGTGTTCTGGTTTTCTACATCTGGGATATTCTGTACTAGCACAGTTATAACATGTTAGGGGGAAAGTCCACATTAGCAGATTTTGCACTCTTCTGAGGCATGATAAATCTGCCATGCAATTTATATGCTACTGTTCAACAAAGTGCTGTCTTTGCAATGTGTTTGACCAGTTTCAGTTCATCATTGACATCATTTTATAAGGATCCCTTCTCATTTGTCCCTCTAGGTGGCATTAAAATGACGGTGGCACAGTGAGAAAGCTGGTCAGTCTGGCTGGTTGAGGTGTGGAGGGGACACCACAAACCACGCCAGCATCCTGACGCATACGATTTCCACTGCCCTCAGTCAATCTCCTTATAATCTCCATGTCTATCCCTGGATTGTAGCTACAAATATGGTGACGCTTATCACAGAGCAGCTCCGTAAGCAGAGTTTGGAAGAGCCTTATTACAAGGCTTTCTCATTCAATGTGAATGTGGTAAGTTTGATACAAGAAGTACCCTTTTTCATTAATGCACTTTTGAGTTTTAGTATTTAAGTTATATTTCTGTTTCAGTCACTACCTGCAGTGGGCTCCAGTCCCACTGTCTCCTGGAGTGCTTGTGGACCCTCCCAAGGCAAGTTCATTGAATTAAGTGCAATAGTATGAACCTTTTAGATGAGAAAAATTGTCTCATGGCTATATTTTTACATTTTCAGAAATCGGCTCTGCTACACAACTATCCTCCAAAGCCAACTCTCTGGATGATTCCTGTGGACTAGACTCCGGAGAACTTCTCCAGAGACCAGAGGTTTCTTTTACAGACAAAGCTTTCCAAAGCTCCCCACCACCCCCACCACCACCTCCAAAACGCCACTGCCGGTCCCTCTCTGTTCCAGAGGACCTGTCGCGGTGTCGTTCCACCTGGCATCCTAGAGCATCCAAGGTTTGGACCCCAGTCAATCGTGGCTGCCAATGCGGAGGAGCATATAGTTCAAGCTCTGGAGCCAGATCTTTGCCACTTTGTGGTCCCAGTCCTTCTTTCCCCTCTTCCTCCCTACACTCATCTTCTAGCCCTACCTTCTTTAGCTTATCACTGTCCTCTGACTCCCCACTACCATGGAGCTTCTCATGGGACCCCTGTGACAAACTGAAAGGAGCCTGTTCTGCCTCCTTTGTTACTCCTTCCTCCTGCTCCTCCTCACCGGCCCCTCTGGTTTCTCACTCAGTGCTGCAGCGCCGCTTCTCTCTCTCCCCTGTGCACATTCTGGATGCCTCTGTGGTGCTCCTGCCCCCCCAGCCCTTTCCTGCTTCTGCTCTGACATATGGCTGTTCTGGCATAGAACACCCAGCCCTCTCTCCATCTCCCACTTCAGCCTGCAGCACACCCTCCTCCTCTAGGCGCGACCTACACCCAGCTCTGCCACGATGCCACTCACAGCCCTGCGACATGCGGAAACCTCGCTTGAAGAGGCGCCATGACCCAGATGTTCTGCCCTGCCCCAGGCCAGGCCTTGACTTCAGCAAGATGACACAGGTGAGCAAAGATTCTAATGGGCTGTCAAGGTAGGTCGTTTGGTTAATATTCTCCTATTGATAGACTTAGTGAATGGAGTAGGGAAGATACAGTATCATGGGGCGTTGGTTCCTTTGTGCCTATGTTGGGCCTCCAGATCTGTTTTCATAAATCTTTCTTGATCTCATCACTGCAGTTGGGATGGGTTTTTTGGTGCAGGCAATTTGACCGAATCTGTGAGAAAATGAACTTCACGAGTGTCTTAAAGTGCACCTATCATGCTATTTTTTAGGCAATAGCAGAGGTCTCAGATATATAAAAAACATGTCTATGAAGTGTTTTGCTCAAAATACCAAACAGATCACCCATTCTAGCCATGCCTCATATCCCTCTATTTCACTTCCTGTTTCTAAAGTGCTGATTTGGGGTATAAAGCTTTAAAAAAAAAAAAAAATTGGGGTGTGCTGAGCTCATGCGGGACCCGGCAGCTACTGTCTAAACTAAATACTGCCGTGATCAAACGCCATATCATTGATTATCAAGGATTATTTCTGAAACAGTATGGGTCTCAAAGGCTTTCTCTCTTGCCGGTTATACCACAAGGTGAGTTCCTTTTTTTTATATCCAGCTTCTTCCCACACATGCTCTCCAGTACAGGTTAGCTCTGAGGGTTAGCGATGCTTATGTAAACGCAGACCATATTACGTCCAAAACAGTTGGGCATTGTTTCTGATAGCAACTTTCTGATAGTGCCGTGGGTCCACACTTCCGATATTACGTCATATTGGACGCAAATCTGGATCAGCTCCGTTGTACCCCCGTTTTTAGAGATTTGGTTACGGAGGAAAAGAGAGGATTTTTATTTTCTGACGCTGCGTGAGTTCCCTGACACACCGGGGACACATATTTATGTATAAAAGACATCAAAAAGTGAATTTTTCATGATAGGTCCCCTTTTTAAGTTGTGATTTTCCCATCACCACCACACCTACTGAACACAGTTCCAGCCTGACTTTAACCCATGCAAAGGTTCTCTTGGCAAAATCTTTAAATGCAGACTTCCTTTGACAATGTGGAAATGTTTCCATTTCTATATTACATCCCATCCCCAAGGTGAACCACCATATACATACTTAAAGTAGGTTAGCTACAAAAAAAGAACAGTATATTGACTTGCTGGCCCTCCTAGATCTCCTAGTACAAGGTTTAAACAATTTTCAATCCACCAAAGAACAATTGGATAACAGTTAAAAATATAATAACATTATAGACTAAGAAAAAGTGCTTGAGATGCTTGAGTCTGATGAATTGTGACTTGATAATTATGAAACTTATTTCTCCTGTTTTTAGATTGGTAATCACAAGAACCCAGTTTGTGGTACTGGTGGCTGCATAGTTCCAGTGTCTTTCCATGCAGAGCAGCGCTCATCC